TTTGATTTGAAGTAATTTAACAATTACAAACTAAATGATACTGATTTGTAAATTAGAAGTTAGGAAATTTTAATTTTATAGAGAACAATTGTTTTGTACGTTAATTAATGATCAATGATCTTGTGAATTAAAATTTTCATTAAATCAAGGAAATTGAATAGTTTTTATAATATAGCTTTTTGCTTTTGACAAACTGATGGAAAGAGATTCACGCACAGTCCTAATAAGTATTCAATTTAGAGACATTAATAAATTAAGAAAATTAAGAATTTTGAGAGTAATTTTCGATATAATATATAATATAATATATATTATACTATATATATTAATATGTAATTATAATATATATAATTTAATATTATATATATAATTTTTTCTAACATATAATATATATAATATTTATATAATAATGTAAATATATAAATCTATATTTTTCTAATATATAATATAATAAAACATAATAATATTTATAATAATTGTATAATAATATACATAAATGCATATTTCTCTAATAGAAATATAATACAAGATATAATACACAAGCTATTAAATACAGATGTAAATGTACAAGAATTTTGAGAGTAATTTTCGATGTAATATATAATATAATATAATATATAATTTATATATAATATTAATGTTGAATTCTATTATATATGTAATATAATATTACATATATAATTTTTTATAATATATATAATATAATAATATTTATAATATTATATATAAATCTATATTTTTCTAATATCTAATATAATAAGACATAATAATATTTATAATAATTGTATAATAATATACATAAATGCATATTTTTCTAATAGAAATATAATACAAGATATACACGAGCCATTAAATACAGATGTAAATATACAAAAATTTTAAGAGCAATTTTCGATGTAATATATAATATAATATATATTACATAATATATAATTTATATATAATATTAATATTTAATTATAATATATATAATTTTTTATAATATATAATATATATATAATATAATAATATTTCTAATATTTATATAATAATGTACATAAATGTATATTTTTCTAACAGAAATGTAATACACAATAAGATATAATACACAAGCTATTAAATACAGATGTAAATATACAAAGAAAGGAAGTTCAAAAAAAAATAGAACCTAAAAAGAGAAATCTATCAAAAAAAAAAAAAATCCTCGCAAATGTTCCATCAGTTTGACCAGGTAGAACATTCGCCCGTCGGCTCGGGCAGTTTATGCTAGGCGCAAGGCTCCAGTCCACTTTCCGGTTTCCTCGAAAAAATACCACACGCTCGTACGATTAACTTTCCATCGATAAGTGGAACAGCGTGGCCATTAGCATGCTCCGGCCATCCTTCTTTTCTTTTTTTTTCCTCTCCTTCTTCTTTTTACCTTCACATCCTTTCCTCCATGTCACTTTCACAACGCGGTGGACAGAATTTCGCGCAACAGCCGGCCGCCATGGTGTGCGTGCGCGCGCGCGTGTGTTCCGCGCCGTACGCACGGAATTCTTATGGGGTTTCCTCTCGATGCCTCGTGCATCGGCGGACAGCTATAACGGTACCTCACGTTACGTCACGCGCTCGCACCTGTCACGCCTCGGTTGGACAAAGGGTTGCACCACCGGTCGCTGGATAATAATAATATACACAGGCGGGAGAAAAACACGGAGGCCGGAGGAAGAAGCCGCCGTTGCCATCCGATATCTGATTTCCGTGGCCGAGGAAACTGGGGCTCGCCGCCGTCTCGTTTCCTTTGCGGCAGCGACGCCCAGGGCGACCTCGTCTACGGACCTCGATCACTTTAGACTTTAGATAAATCGATCGGCCGGATATTTGTCGGATCGTCGAATTTTTGGCAAAATGCGCGTAGCTTTGGATTCCCGTACGATTTAATTAATTTTACTATTAAATCCGCTTTCAAATTAATTGTCTGAAAATGAAATTTTTATGATTCATTTCATATTCTTAAATAAGGTACATTTTGATTTAAAGTATTATTTTATATAATTTTTGTTTACAAATTCTTGTAATTCGTTTATTCTTAGATATGCTACATTTTGATTTAAAATATTATTTTATAAAATTTTTGTTTATAAATTTTAACAATACTTAAATATAATTTAAGTATATCTTATCGTGGATTATCAAATTAAATAACAAATTTCCTTAAAAAAATTAAGGGGCCGTCGTATTGCACTATTTTAATGATTCATGAAAATATTATTTTATATAATTTTTGTTTATATAATTTTTATAATTCATTTATTCTTAGATATGCTACATTTTGATTTAAAATATTATTTTATAAAATTTTTGTTTATAAATTTTAACAATATATAAATATAATTTAAGTATATCTTATCGTGGATTATCAAATTAA